GAAAGAGAAATGATATGAAGATTCCAGACCATTGACTCAAGGAGATCCAGACAGGCCTTGGGAAGCTTACCTGTTTAAACTGCTCTACTCAACAATGTTTAAAATGACACCAAAATATTGTGTGTGCTTTAAGGTAAATTTAATTTCTTTAAAAATGCAAATTTCTCTGAGTTACGGAGAAGCTCCTTAACTCTCCTTAACCAATAAAGTGCACCTTCACATTGATTGGTTAGATTGCTTTACATTTAATGGAACCCACGAGAACTTCAGATCATAGACTGCGGTAGGACAACTGGCCTGGAGAGGTACTCTGGTGGAGACCTTGGGTCTGAAGATGGGTAGAGGGGAAAAGAGAGAGAAAATGTTAAACTGCTGTGGAAGGTATTACTTATATGGATATTTTTAGTTTAAGAAGTGACAGGAGAGAAGACTTGTCACTAGGTAGCTGGTTGGTGAGATGGGATAGAATTGAAAAGGCACCAAAGACAGTCCACTCATTTTGAAGAATTTTAGGGGCATCTGCTCAGCTCCAGAGGTCAGATGAGAGAGGCAAATCATCCCATCAAAAAACAACTCACACCCAACTTGCTTCTCATGCCTGGGAGAGTCTAGAGAAGAGGGTAATATGGATTTTGGGGTATGTGTGTGCATAAATCAAGTCTGAGACCAACGCACAATTCCCATGTCCCCAGTAAAGAGAGCAGAAAAGTTAGCATCCCTTTCCTTCTAAAGTCTGCAGGTTAGGGGCCCAAATCCACACCAGTAGTTCTCTTTCTCTTCCTCCTCCTGAGTAAGACAGGAGCCTGCGGAAAGTTCTCTGGGTTGAGCAAAAGGTTACTCTGTGTGGTTAACACAGTCCAGTATGTGCAGAGGATGCAAAAGCAAGCAAGATGTACCAATAAGAATACAGAGCATGATTTAAGAAATACCACTGCCTGGGTGTACTTAACTTACTAAACCTACTCACTCCATCACTCCTTGATTCTGAGTAAGTACCCCAACAACTTTGATTTTAATAAGTATTGGTATATAAAAACATCTTATTTTCATAAGCTCATAATAATTGTCTTAGTCTTCTTTACGATGAAGTAACATAAAGAATTTCCAGTACGCAGCACCCAGGCAAAGACCAAGTCTGCTAACGTGGGACTCAGTGCCTTCCCAGCAGGTCATGTTCTTAAATGTTGGTGATGATGATGCGCCTTACTTTCTGCTACTACTTAAAAAAAAAAAATTGTGATGTAGCCCGGGAAAGGCAGCCTTGATTATGTCAACTCCCTCCTTTGTAGAATGGGATCAATGATAATTAATGTCCCGCTTGCCTTGTAAGGCATGAGGATCAAATTCTATGAAAATGTCTGGTGAACCAAAAAGTCCCATGCAAAAATTAGTTATAATGCAGCTTCTGGTTAGGCTGTACCTGTCTCTTCCAGAGAGAAGACCCAAGAAAGGAACTGGCATTGATTGTAGGTCTTCTCTATGCCATGTTATCTCAGTACCATCTTATGCAGTGGGTGGTCATATCCCATTTGACATATGAGGCACGTGACGTTAAGTAACTTACCGAATATGAGCTACCTACTAAGTGGTAGGGCTAGGATTCACACCCTGGTCTGCTGCTCAAAAACCCAGGTGTTCTTAGCACTAGCTTCACATCTACTTTATTACTTAGGTCTACAAAAGAAAACTGAGAGCAGCATTTGGTTTTTACATGGCCATCAAGGCTGTCATCATCATCCTTATCCTCAAGTTTTCGGTTGTTTCAAGGCATAATATAAAACATGATAAACCTTCCCAAAGGGCTAAAGCCAGCAGGATGAAACAGCAGCACTGCAGTGTGCAATGGAGCCCAAGGAGGAAAACAAAGGCAGAGACAGTCAGTTGTAATAAGAATAAAATATTAAAATCTCAATTGGCCTGCCTGCCAAAGACTGCATCCCTCAGCCCCTATTAGGCACACACACAAGCCCCAATGACTGCTGATTGGGATTCAGTGATCCAGAGGGAGCTGGATTTTTTTTTTGTTTAAGCCTCATCTGGCATAACTAATAAGATGCATGCTTTACTTATCATGGGCTAGACCCGCCCTTGTCTAGCCATAGGGACAGCAAAGGGACCACATTGCTGATTTCTCCTGTGCGTGGTGGAAGTGCCAGGCAGGATGAAAAAAATGGGCATTAACAAGCAGGTCAGAGAGTCCTGGGTGTGAATCCCAACTCCATCACTCACTACCTGGTAATCATAGGCCGGTCCTTAGCTTACTCACAGGAAACACTTCTTCATTTTGAAACATGTACCTCTAAAATAAATGAGATAATGCAGATAAAATGACCAGCAGATGTCTGTGAACACAACAGTTATTCAAGAGGAAGTGGATTCTCTGATGATTATAATGACTCATGAACTAGTAATTGCTTATTTGTTTTTAACAGACACCCTCTGTGGTTGACCAAAGATGACTACAAATTCTCCTACTTTCCCCTTTGAGAAGTGGGGTCCAATCTTGCTCCCCTTGAATCAGGGTTGGTCTTAGTGACTTTCTTGGCCAACACAATGTGGCTGAAGTGCTGTTCTGGGATTTCTAAGCCTGACTCATAAGAAGCTTTATAGGTTTGCCTTGGCCTTATAGCTGTGAGTTGCCATGTAGAAGTCTGAGTGCCCTGAAGCTGCTATGCTGTGAGGAAGCCCTACTGTGTCATGTGAAAGGGCCTCAGGGAAAAAAGATGTTGGGCCAGCCCCAGCTGTTCCAGCCTCCGGCTGCTGGAGTGATTCCGGCCCAGATCCCAGAAACTGGAGTCTCTGCCAACCCCTGCCCAAACTGCAGATTCATGAGCAAAATAAATGACTGTTTTACTTTAAGTTACAAAGCTTTGAGGTAGTTTGTTATGCAACACAAGACAAACCTCTCTACCATGGTTTTTCACCCCTGAAAATTAAAAACATCAGTTAGCTGAATTATATTAAGTCACATATTAAGTTCATGTTGACTCTGTAGTTCTCAAGCCTATTTTATACTTTTTCCTTTAATATTTATTGTATTTTTTCCATTACCATTTAGTCCCCTTATACTGCCCCTTCCCCCAGCAATCACCACACTGTAGACACTGAAAAACATTTTCTTTGTGAACAATGTTAATCCAGGCATTACTTGTTAATTGGCTCACCAATGGCATATATGAGCTACTGTACGTGTATGTATGGGTTATGCATGCCAGACTTTAAATTCTCTAGAATTTTTCTAAATATCCAATTCCTCTCACAAGGAAAAATAAGGCTACAAATAACAGTCCTTCATCTTAACGAACTTGTGAAAACCATGCTCTGAAGTCAGCCAAATTGAATCTAGTGCCCAAGTGTTCCACTCTCCCAGTTCTGTACAGAGCTGGGCTCTAGCCCACAACAGGCTATCTAGTAATCAGAGCGGTTTATTGAAGGCCACTATCTACCTTCCTCCTAACCAGTAGGAAACCACCTACTTTGGCAAGCTTGCAATGAAAGTGTTAAGACAAAGCAGATTTCTGTAGCTCTCCAGGTAATCTTTGAAGACAACCCCTTCAGCTTTCACATATGCTCCATCTTGGAAGGGCCTTGTTATACAATAAGACTTGGCTCTGAAACATAGAACACTTACCTGATGCCTTTTAAATAACATTATGTAAACTTTGGGGCATATAATCAGCATGGTGAACTCAAACATGTTGCTGCGTCCCAAGTCGACTATGCTCTTTTTCATTTCCATGTTCTTCTGCCTGCAAAGCCTGCCTCCTCTTCTTGAGAGGATGTATGTGTGTGTGTGATCTTATTTAACCTTCAAGTGTCCCCTCTCCCATCAAGGCAGAGTTAATCATTTCTTGATGACATTGCTTCTTCAATCTGTAAAGCCTTTTCTTTAACAAGAAAGCTTTTCATTTTTTTTTAAAGCAGCAACAACAAACCCAAAGTCCTACTGAATACACGGAGAAAGAACACGAGAGTTGCTATAATTCTTGGCAACGCTCCACCAGACTGAAATAGGCTGACGTGATCGGTGTTTCAGGGATTGTAATTCAGTAGCAGAAATGAGTCAATTAAAATACCAACCAGAATGCTGTCTGTAGATAAAGTGCTGTGAGCTGGGGGTGCAACATAACCTGAATTGCTGAATTCTAAGGGCCGACTGGTGATTTGCATCTCAATCTCCTTCATGCTATTTTCTTGGCAAAAGTTAATAAGGAGCCACTCAGCCTAGGAAAGATAGGTCCTCTATTTACCTTGGCAAGAACCAGACAAACACAATGAACTCCAAATTCTCCTAACTCAATGGCTTTTGTTTGACCTGGAGTAGGAAATGCCTGTTGTCACAAGTGGGTCAATGTGAACATCAAACCTGCCAACTGGTACTGGTTTTTATATTCATTCATTAAGAATTCCAAACTCAAAGGCCATACAGGCACTAAGTGGCAACTGGCACTTTGTAGTACAATCCACAAAACTCATGAGTAACATGCAGAACATCATAACTGAACACTCTTCATTCTATCACCAAACTTAAAGAGATTACATTTTCAACACTCATTATTTAAACCATATATAACTATGCAAAACATTCCAAGCCAAAGGCTGAACACACACTAAGTGTAACAGGTTACATGACACAAAATCCATGAAACATAGCCTATCATTCCTTCCCCATGTGAAATTTACGGAGAGTCATACTGGAACACCCTTTATCACAAGAACAAGAGCAATAATGTTTTTGATACTCATTCTTGAATTAACTATGTGTGACATGTCAATTTAGAATTATTATAACAGAGTCTACATTTTAACTGATACCTAAGGCAACAGAATAACTTAGTGCTTGATACTTTAAGTACCTAGATAAAGCAGAGGGGAAAATTTACTGTCCTCTCTCACTGACCAAACCCTGGGCTTCCTCCAGAAAGGGTGTAAGTTTCTGGCACTGGACAAACAATAACATTGGTATAGTCTAGGAAAGAAGAAATGTGGCATCAACTTACTTAACAGTTGGCAATAGAGGGCCTGTAAACTTCTCTTCATGGTATCATCTGGTCCTTCTTATCCTCCAGTTTATTCATGATTCTGTCTAGGAAATTGGGAGAAGAAAATTATTACATCTGGGGAATATAATTCAAGTCAATAATCAGGAAAAACTCCACTTAACACGATCCTAGTTGTAAAGGCTAAAACACCTGACTCTGAAAAGGAAAATTCTTGGAATGGATACACCAGAGTTTAATTTACAACACTGTATGTTATAAAACTACCAATTAATCAAATTGGCCAAACCTGAAACTATGCATGCCATTGAAGGAAACATATACGGGTAACTGGGGAGTAAGAATCTGGCTTTGGAACTTTCGAGGCTTCCAGTTAGTCTCCCCTGAATCTCTAATCTTGAAACAAGAGAAACAAGAAATTTCTACTCTCATTTCTACTCTGGTGCTCACCAAACAAACACCCCAAAAAGCTTCACCACACTTGAAATTCTATTCTATTAAAGAACTTTCCTAGTGCTTTCTGTTATAAAAGATACCTCTAATAGAGAATATTTGGAAAATATAGCTAAACAGAAAATATAGATAAGAATATGTAAGAAAATACAAATTACCTATTTCTCCAGGCTTTCAAGTATGCATTTCTACTGGCCTGTCTCATTTTACGTATTATACCTTCTAATTTTCTCCCTAGCAGCAGAAATGTCTTGTGCTGTAACGATTATCTTACTACTTTATTTTAAACGACACACAGTATTAAGTTAAATTCCTAGAAATGGAATCACAAGGACACAATTTATGGCTTTTGAACTATATTGCCAAATAGACTTTCATCAATACCAGCATATGAGAATATCTATTAGACTACAACCTACCCAATGATGAAGATTTATAATTTCTTTCCCACTTGGCCAAGTAAATAGGCAAATGTTCCATCTTATTGCTTTAGTTTGCATTTTATGTGTTTGCTAGTCATTTGTCTTTAAAAATTTTTTAAATTCACATTTGACAAAGATTCTTTAGTCAGGCTCCTGACCCACCCTGTTAGGCCCTTCATGCACTTCCTTGTCAAACGTAGTACTAGCAAGAACCCTGCTAAGTCAGCACAACCAGAACTGCTACCACCGCCCCTCCCCCCACGATCTAAATCTAATTACCCTCAATATATGATCAGGGCCCGCATCCTCCACCACCTGGAGGTGACGATTGCCCTGGCCTGTCTACACTGAGAAGCCTGACGGGTCAGGTGATCCAGAATGCTTTGGTGTTTCTTCTTAGTAATTTTCCATCTAATGACCCCCAAGCCTATTCCTTTTTTACTTGCCCCACTATATTAGGGTTTGAGCCCAGCCTCTCTCTCGCACTGTAAAATCCCATTGTAGTGGTCCCTATACTACTCTGATGGTCCAGAACAAAGTCTGCCTTACCATCTTTAACAAGTGTCACTGAATTCATTTTTTAAAAATTCATTCCTTTGTTTCTATTTTACTTTCAAGGACAAATACTTTTTTCTTTAACACAGTCTTTAACCATTCTCTGCTGGCATGCTAGATTTTTTTTTTTCCATGACACCCAATTAAGAATTCATTTGTCCGGAAAAAATTTTATTTGAGATCTTATTCACATATCTTAAAATTCAGCCTTTAAAGTATAGAATTCAGTTGTCAGTGTATTCAAAAGTTGTGTGACCATCACTGGTACCTAATTACAAAATATTTTTATCCCTCTAAAAAGAAACTCCCATGTTCACTAACAGTCATTTCCCATCATTCCCTCCCCCATTCCCTGGCAACCACTAATATACTATGAATTTGCCTGTTCTGTGCATTTCACATAAATGGAATCATATAATACATGGCCTGTTCTGTCTGATTCTTTCACTTCACAGACTGATTTCAGGGTTCATTCATGTTGTAAAGCACATTGGTTTTTTTCCCCTTATTTATTTATTGTAAGAACCGTTCTCTCTCTCTCTCTCTCTCTCTACTATGGTTAGGAATCCTCAGTCTAGGATTACATAAATAGTTGTCTGTACTTTATTCTGGTATACTTTTACTTGTTTTAGATTTGTTTCTGGACTTTGTATCATGTTTTACTTTTTTGTTTGCTCATTATTCTGGTTTAACAATAAATGTTGTTTAAATTACTTTTGGCAGAACGTCCTTTGTTTTTACTCTTCTTTTAAAGGTTTGTCTAGTTCTTTGAACTTGTTTATCCCTCCAGATTAAATTCAAAATCATTTTACTAAATTCCAGAAGAATAATCATTGGGATTATAGTTGAAATTATCTTTTACTTGCTTTATTAATTTAGGAGACAACTGATCGCTTCAAAATCCAAGTGCGATGAAGAGAACAATAAATGATGTTTTAGATTGTAGCTCTAGAGATCAAAAGAATTCTCAGACAGTGAGAAGTGCTCTTTTTTTTTAGAGGGGGTGGGGAATAGCTCAATGACTTGTTTGGTTAGGAAAATTGCAGCCCCCTCTCCCCAGGGTCATCTGGATGAGTAAGAGCAAGAGAAAGAAATAGTTAAGTTCCTCTCCATTATAAAATAATGGGAGGTTTGAGTTTCCAAAGGCCCAGAATGAGGAGTTAAGTGATCCAGAAGTCAGGAAGGCTGAGATGATAAATGAAAGATGTTAAGAGACAGACAAAAAAAGAAGCAATTCCAAAAGACAGCAGCAGGTGGGAGCTAAGAATAAAGGATCAAGCGAGAAATTCTCCACAGGAGATGAGCTGCAAACTTTTAGATGTGTAATATTTAATTTTTCATTGCTTCTTTTTTATGCTTTTTGTATTTATATATCACATCTTTCTTCCTTCTCCCCCACAATGCTTAGCTAACACTAGTATCCTCAAAACCTCAGCAAAAGTCTTGTACAAAATAGCCCTGTATTGGTGGTGCTCAGCTGGCAGTGAAAGAGAAGACACTATGACCCAAGAGAAGGGTGACCAGAACAGAGGTAGGAACCACTGGAGCCATAAGCGGTGGTAATGGACATCTGTGGAGGGCTTAGGGCATGGTTAAGTATTCAACAAATGTACAGTGAATAAATAAATGAATGAAAGAAAAAAGGAATGATCAAGTAACAGGAGAGCAGAGAAATAGCTGCAGTTTATATTGATCAAGGGGAAACACATGCTCCTCAATCTTCTCTGGAAGTCCTTAGAGATTTTCAAGAAACTCTTAGACTTCCCACAAGGCATGGACTAGATAGAGCCATTCTATTCACATATCAAGAAATGACTGAGCCCATAAATCTGAGACATTTGGGATCATCTGGGTTACACAGGACTATCCTAACTACAAGCACTATGTGGCCCTAGTATTTGTTAAAAACTAATGTTTATTTAGGCCTTTCTGTGGAGTTTTGCAGTGTTTTTCCTTCATTTAAGTTACAGGGTCTGGTTGAGTTAATTTCTAAGCATTTTATATTTATTCCTTTTGTCGCTGTGATGAAATTTGTGTTCCCATTATATTTTCTAATTGCCTCTACATGAAAATGACTGAGTTTTTATATATTCATTTTGTGACCTAACTGAACTCACTTACTGTTATAATGATGCTTTTTCGGCTGAGTCTTTTAGGTCAATTGTGCTGCTTTGGATGGTTGGAGAGCCACAATGAAATTCCATCGAAAGCCTCTTTTTAACTGTATAGTCGGAAACATTAATTGTATCTGGTGCCTCAGGAAATAATTTAGGAGCTCCAAGGATGACAATTAATTTCTGGAGTGAAATTCTCAGAAAGTATAGAGTTTTACAGTCAAAAGGCTGAATAAAAGTAGAAAGAAAGAGGAAAATGATGAAAACACTTGACTAAACATGCAGAGTCAGGACCATGGCTGCAGAACTCACTGATTATTAGCTCAGGAAAAACAAGGGGGAGCAAGAAACCTGAACTGCCCATCCCCTAAAGAGAGCGAGCCTAAGAGAACCCAGCCTCTCCCGTTTCCTTAAACGGGAGAGTTCTGTCCATTCCAGACTCAGGAGGCAACTTCTCCTTTGCGGACCACTGAAAATGTTCCAATTAAACATGTCCATGTAGCAAGTTAAAAGAAAAGCACTGATAGTTGATATGCAAATTGACTTGACATGGTAAGTTCATATCTCTATGAATTTATGAAAGAATAGTTAGGAAAATCCTGGAAAACAAAAGCAAAAAATCTCCCAACTGGTGGGGTTAGGGAAGGAAAAAATGGCCAGCCCTGCCAGACATAACATACTCTAAAGCCTCTATAATTAAAACAATTTATTGACACATGAATAGACCCAATTTGATATGTAAATTTAGAATATGATTGAAGCAGCATCTCAAATTAGTGGGAAAAAGGATGAACTTTCAAATAGATATTGAGAGAATGGCAGAGTAATACGAAAAAAGGTAATTGTGCTCATTCCAAATACCACACACTACCAAGTTCCAAATGGACCAGACATTTATTTACTTATTTTATTTTTTGATCATTTCATGGTCTCATTACCTGCTGTCAGACTGCCCAGCAAAGATAGTGTAAAAATGTACATTGTAATAAAAAATGTATAAATGTATAGTTTATAAAAACCACAGCCTCAGCATTATTAAATTTTATCATTTTATCTGATAGGTAAGACATGGAACCTCTGTGTTTATTTTAAAATAATGTTCTTTGTTTACTAGTGAGATTGAAACTCTGCCCCCCCCAAAAAAAAATAAAATTCCTAATATTTGGTTTCTTCTGTGCAAACTGTCTGCTCACATCCTTTGATTATTTTGCCCCTCCTTTCAAAGAGCCTGGAAGTGGCAATAGGTCTGTCTGAAACTTTGGCTGTAACAACAATGGATATTTACCAGCCATTCACAGAATGTGGATCCTGACACTGTGATTTCTGGCAAAGGACTCTAATTCTGATTGTGGTGTTTATCTCCGTCAAGTTAAAAGAATTTCAGCCTAGGGACCTTAAGCAATCACCGTTTCATCCTGTCACCTTTAAACAAATGATTGCGCTGAAAGGATGCTGCAAAGACAGGAGGCTGGAGTGGGAGGGGGACAAGCTTGTTTCTGCTTGGATGTGATTCAGCCTGTCACTCTTTGTTCAAAAAAGTGA